GAACTCACGCTCACCAAAATGTACCTGGCTGCATTGAGGCCCCATTATGATAGTTCCCAGGGTTTAGGGTTTAGGGTTTTCTTTCCCATCATCCCAATATAACCCCAACATATACCCTATACCTATAATCCAAAAAAACCATTATGGTAGTTTCCATTGATTGTTCTGCTTGTAAATGGCTAATTGCCGTTGCAGTGCATGCGCTATCGCTACCGCTAATTCTGCAGCTGCTGCTTCTACTACTTTTGCTCCTGGTGCTCGGGGATCAGTGTCTCGGGATTCGCCAGGGCCCCGCCATTTTGAGATTAATCTTCGCTGGAAGTTTCCAACAGTGTCGGGATCCACAAAAATATGTTGGGGATGCGTCCACCGATGTCCCCCCAATTTTGGGCAACTCTCGTTTTGCGCACTCACGTAGGGTCCTCAAGAATTGGAATCGGATTCTGAGGTATCTTGACATATCGTTCCTATACAAGGGCCTTTAATGCGGCAGTCTCCCTACTTATTCTAGTTTCTATCCTAAAGCATGGGTGTACCATCCATATGTACTATCTCCTTAAGCGGGGTTATACAGGGGCGAAAATCGGGCTTACTAAGAGAAATACTAGGAGCTTAGACTATAGCTCATATGCAACCCTAAAAAACCTTGAATAACGCAGGCTCCTGAATGCTAACCCTTCATCATCCCCGAACCCTTGAGTCACAGTTACCACAATGGGTACTAATATACCAGAATATACTATAATGTAGCAGTTTCAATTTTCTTTTCCATTATCCCTAAATCACTCCTAAATAACCCCAATCCCAAATCCTAAAGGCCGGAACCCTATAGTCCCCCTTAAGAAAATAGAATATGGCCTCGGGTATATTATAATCAGATCCCCAAAAACGCAATATTCTATCTACTTAAGGAGGACTAATAAATCCATGGGAAGGGGCACTTTGGGGGTTGGAGGTGGGTCTGCTCAGCCAAAAAAGTTCCAGCCTGGCGTCCGGGTAGAGGGTTTAGGGTTTAAGGTTTAGGGTCTTTGGGTACGGGGATTAGGGTATTAGGGCTTGGCAGCTTGGGTTTTAGGCGGGCTTTTGCGGTTTTAGGTTTAGAGAGTTTTACGTAGAATCCTCTTGACTGCCATCTCTTTGAAATTGACTGTAGCAGCATTCACAGTCTCCTGGCGGGCAGTTTAGCTGCTTTGGAAGACAGCAATGTAGGCTTATCTGCTCTACATTCTCCTGTACGATCGCTACTAGCAAAAACATAGTTTCTACGAGTATCTTCCACTCTGTCTGCAGGCCAAAAGTTGTTACTGCCCTGGCTGTTCCCTATCACAATACGTTTCTACTGTCATGCGCGTTGTAGCAGCAGCCCGGTGCGATGGCAGCAGGCAAATGCGAAGCCAATGCATGTGCAGGGCGTGCCAGCTGGGTGCGGGTGCCGCCACTGACTCCGCCGCCCATGTCCTGCTTGGGGGGTTTGCAAGTCTTACAGTAGCCTGCAATGGCCGTAAGCTGTATAATCGCCGTCCAATTGTCCCCATATTGAAGCTAGTCACTAAGTCAACCGTGCCCTGCAAGTACTTGACGCGCTTTTGATACACCACAAAGGTGGGTTTCTCAAATCAGAGCACCCGTGATTTGATTTCAAGCTTGGGGTTTTACTGTTCGATTTCCAAGGCTTGGTGCCACTTCTTAGGATTGCACAAGTGGAATTCTGCCGGGGTTCTTTCGAACAACTCCCAGGTTTCCTGATGGGCCCAGAACAGCAGCCCATGGTAGGTTGGTACAAGGAATATGAGAGGCTACCTATGAGAGGTTACCATTCTTACTACTATTACTACTAATACTATTCTTGCCATTCTTACTACTACTATTACTATTCTTTCTTGGTAGAAATTGGTAGTTTCCCAAAATAAGGGGACCCCAATATAGACCCCGAAATACTATAATCCTGATTATGGGGACCCCTAAAAGGTACCCCTAATTTTGGAAACCCCCCAAATGGATTGTGTAGCCTTCCCTACACTTGCAACCTTTGGGCCCCCCAAAGTCCTTCGGAGATAGGCTGGAGCCAATGTCTGCTCTCGCATTGGCAGTCTATTTCTCATGGGAAGGCACAGCCCCGGTCATATCTGAGCAAACAGCAGATCTGTTTGAGGGTATATGGGTGGTTGTCAAAATTATGGTCCTTTTTTGGGTACCCTAAATACTAGGGGCCGTATGATAATAGGGACCCCAAAAGGGACCAGAATTTAGACAACCAACCATATGGCTGAATGAGAATTTGTGCTCTTCCATATTGGTATGGTGGCTCAGGACACATCACCAACTGCCTTGATCTTGGGCATGTAGCATGAGCTGGCAACACGTCTGTGAGAGCTGCTTAGCTGAGGATGGTTTAGGCACCCATCTCGTTCTCATGTGAGCCATAAACGCAATCTTCGGATCAGCAAGAAGCACATGCACATGCTTGTTCCATTCCCTGCGGTTTCATGCAACTCCTGAGCCTTGCGCCTCTGAATTCTGCGGCCAGCCGAAGTCAGCCGTGTAGTCTGCCAGGAAAGCAAGTCTTGCGCATGGAGGGGACTTAGCCCTCCCCACATTTGGGCGATGCCTTTGGTTGGCACCTTCTCTTGCATAGGCAACCATGACCACTGTCGATCAGGATGACCATGATGCTGGTATAGGTTTAACATGACAACGTGCAATACGTACAGTGAAGTCAAGAGGGGGATTATTTCAGCTAATGTTTGATGATGCCCTGTCACCGGAGCACGGGCTTGTTTTTGCTGCGCATGCTTGTGCCTGTCATGGAGTATGCGTACCGTCAATACTGCCACCATCTGCTGCTGCCCTGCCCCTAGCCATATAGAGGCAGTCCTTCGTCATGATCTCCGGCAAAGCCGTCATCAACTGCAAAATCAGCTGGCAACTTGACCACCTGCGTCCTGTAATCTTTCATGTAGGACAGGCCTCCCTTCTCTTGCTGCTTAGCATCGGTGAGATGCGCTTGCCGAATAACCTCGAAAACGTCTGCCACCTGGACCCGCGCGCAAAATCGGTACCTCACGCCAAAGCTGAAGTCGTGAGACCTGGTACTTGTGACTCACAGCCAGTAAGGCCTGCAGGCTCAAGCGCTGCGGATGGTCATCCTTTTGGAGTTCCGCGTGGCCTGAAGCCTCAGGGGGAATCAGCTTGTCAAGGTTCGGAAAGTTATCAGTATAGAACCTGAGGAAGCACTTGAAGGTCGCCACGTCGCAATCCTCGATCACAATGGTCTTTGAGATGGACTCCTTCATGCCTGAAACCACCTGCCTTTTGAACACTTGGGATCTCGCTCGAAGGATTTGCAAGTGTGCGGGGATCACCTCACCCTGCACCTGTACTTGCACGCCACTGTATGATCCGCTCTGCAACAGCATCCGTATGTCGCAACTCAGGGTTGGTCCGGGAATCTCAGCAGCGTGCACTGTTGGCGGAAAGAGTGACTTGTAGTCACCACTTGGCCGCCCTCCAACATCACCTTCACTGTCAGGGTGTCATTCCCCACTCGGAGTCGCAAGCGTCACTGCCAGATTCCGCAACCGGATTTCCATGCTGGTTTCTGAGCTGTGGAAATGCCACCTGAGCTTTCCTCAGCTGTGTCTTCGCAGGCTAGTGACACAGCCTGTGAAAACACAGCTGAGGAAAGCACTCGCGGCATTTCCATTCTTCGCACTTTCGCACAGCGTGGTGGCAAAGATGGCTATGAGAGCTGATGTAATATTCGGTGGGCATCGAAACTTGCTGGACAGTTTCCACCCAACTGCGCAAGTCACGTGATTTGTGCTCAAAATTGGAGAGATGCAACCGTTTGTGCTGCACGCAAGATTTCAATAGTCCAGGGACCCTCAAACCCATCATTTGCGGCCAGTCTGAGAGCAACCCCCATCCCCTAATTACAAGTAAAAGACCCGAATAATCAAAGGATCCACATTCACCATGAGATACCACGAATGGATGCGGGGCGGTAGGTGGATTCATTCTTAGGTGGATATATTACTAAGCCTGAAGTCCTAACTCTAAACCCGAAACCTGTATGGTATCTCGCGCTGGGGGGTTTCGGGTGTAGGCGATGGAACTAACCCCGCCTCACATTAAAATAAAATGACCCCAAAACCAAAAGTACAAAATACGTTATGGGGAATATTGAGTCTTAGGGGTTGTGTGGGTCTGACAGTGACGCTTCCGACTCTGCATCTTGCCGCTGCATAAGAGGACAGTGGCTGAGGACACATGCTGCTGTTTGGATACCAACCGGCCTCCGTAGGCAATTCAAATGGTAGTTTCTCAAAATAGGGGGACCCCAATATAGACCCCAAAATACTATGGTCCTTATTATTGGGAACCCCACAATGGTATCCCTAATTTTGGGAAACCCCCAAATTGGTAGCTGCCTACCTTTCTGCATCATCTCCTTGCTGGCGAAGCAGCCATGAGAAGTGCTCCAGTGTCCACACATACTCACCCTTTCAGACCCGATGTCCAAAACTGGTTCCTTCCTCATTGCTTGTCAGACGTGGAGTTTTGCAAGTGCCATAAGCCAAATCGTCATTCACTTAAGAGTCTTTCAGCCGCGAGCAGCGAGATCCTCCGCCCATTTTCAGCCAACATGTCCCTTTCCTTGTGAAGCTCTTGCCGTGGAGTCCGCTGCTGAATGGCCGCCCGGAGCTCAGCCTGGGGTCCTCTACCTTGCACTCACAGGCGCGCCGCTTCCATGGCAGGCGGCTATGGAAGACCCGACGAGCTGCAAACAGTTCAGCGGTGCTCCCTCCCCAATAGCCTGAGTTGACAAGAAAGCCTAGCTGCTGATGCCCTTTGTATCCCAAACCACAAGAAGGTTTGCTGGAGCCTGTTTAACCTGGATTGCTGCACGCTGCGGCATGGCCACGCATGCTTTTTGGGAATGTCTTGCTATGCGCTCGAACTTGCGTCAGTGCATCCGGGTGCAACTGTTCAGAGCGCGCCTAAGCCATTGAAATCGGGAGGAGCAGTAGGCACCTCGACATTGAAATCTGCATTGACATGATCCCCAACTGCAAGCCGACTGTCCCATCCAGCCCAGCAGATTTTCCCGCATCCTACTAGGAAAGTAGCAAACAGCCACATTGGCAACTCCAATGTCAGCAGTCAACTTATTGCTCTGAGCCTTGAAGACACAAGTAAAGCTTGAAGAGCTCTACTTGAATTCGAGAATATCCCTCTGCGAACTCCGTGGAGGCTTAGCTTCTTAAGCCCTAAGCCCTACATCCTGTCACTGGCCTGCTCTTGGCTATTGTCCCCATCCAGCAACAGTGTAAAATGAGGGTAGCATCAGGGCCTTGATATGATTGTACTATAGTATTGGGGTTATATAGGGATAATGGAAAAGAAAATGGAAACTACTATAATGGAGAATCAAATGGAAAACACAATGGAAAATGACATGGAAACTACTGGGATTATTATGGTTATAAGTCTTATCCAACTGCTACTGCGTGGGGCAGTATCCAAGGTTGCACCTCCCAGTAGTTTCCATTTTCTCTTCCATCATCCCAATATAACCCCTGCATAGTCCCTATAACACCCAAACAAACACTATAATCCCAATAGTTTCCATTATATAACCACTATAATCCCAGTAGTTTCCATTATATTTTCCATTATCTAAATTTAACCCCTGCATAGTCCCTATAACCTCCATATAACCCTTATAATCCCAGTAGTTTCCATTATATTTTCCATTATCTAAATTTAACCCCTGTATAGTCCCTATAACCTCCATATAACCCCTATACCAGTAGTTTCCATTTTATTTTCCATTATCTAAATTTAACCCCTGTATAGTCCCTATAACCTCCATATAACCCCTATAATGCCAATAGGTTCCATTCTAGTTTCCATGATCCCAATATATTCTTTATATAATCCGTATACACCCATATAACCCCCAATAATCCCAGTAGTTTCCATTTTATTTTCCATTATCCCAATATAATCCCTATATAGTCGCTATAACCCCCATATAAACCCTATAATCCCAGTGGTTTCCATTTCATTTTCCATTATCCCAACATAACTCTTATATAGTCCCTATAACCCCATATAACCCCTATAATCCCAGTAGTTTCCAGTTCATTTTCCATTATCCCAATATAACCTAAACCCTAAACCCCACCTTCAAGCGCTTCTGGCCACAGTGCTTGCAGTACAGGACGTCCACGGGACATGGTCGGCTACAGGTAGTGCAGGCGACCTTGGCCATGGGCTGTTATAAATACTACATGGGGGTTTCCCAAAATTAGGGGTACCTTTAAAGACATTATAGGGGTCATATAGGGGTTACGGTTATAAAGGGGTTAGGGGTTTAGGGTTTCCCAAAATTAAGGGTACCTTTTGGGGTCCCTATAATAAGGACTATAGTATTCTGGGGTCTACATTGGGGCTCCCCTATTTTGGGAAACTACCCATGTACAGTACTGACCATAGTTTCCACTCTAGTCCTGGAAATACGAACACTAGTAGTAAAATACTTACAGAGGCACAGGAAGAGTAGCAATAGCAGGCAATGGAGTAAGTTATGCACAAAATGAAGTGATGACAATGGCAATGATGTCAGCGCGCAAGGATCCACATAGTGGCAGCTAGCACCGTTCTTCATGGGAGAAAAGTTATTCTATGGGGACCTGGTCTCATGATCTACAACTTGTAATCGCCTCAGCAAAAAAATACACCCCCCCCAGTATGGTACCACTCTAAAAATGGGGATAGCTTTTATTGTGAGGGCAGGTGCAGGCTTCTTATACGGCCTGAAGTGTATAACGGCCAGTAACCACAAGCTGTGAGAGCGCTGTCTCTCCACTCGTTGCCAGTTTGGTGGCACTGTTCAAACATTGGTAGTCTCCCAGAATAGGAGGACCCCAATACGACCAGGGACCGCAAAAAAAGTACCCCTAAATTTGGGAAAGCCTCGGCTTGGGCAACTGGCCCATGTGATTGCACAAGCACAAAATACTGTAATATACTGTAGTATACTGTAATATGCTCTAACATACTCTATTACAGCCCACCCAAAGCAAAGAAGCGGAAAATTCATTAGCTGGAATCCAGACATTTGTGCAGAGGCGGTTGGTGTCAAGCCCAATAACATGGTAAATTGTCCAGAATATGTTCTGAAAGGGTTAGCGCACGTTCAAACACGACAAGAACTTCCAGTCTATTTCGCTCCTGTTTTTCCTGTATGCAGCAATAGTTCCCGAAATACAAGCCTTTTTTCAAGATCTCGTACATATGTATATATACACATGTTTATACACCTACAAACACACCACATACAAGATTGTCCTGGCTTGCTCGGAAACAGGCGTTTCCTCTAGCCTGACAACCGGGCCGCCCATACCCCACAGCAAGAAACTCCAGGGCCGGCACTGTGCCAGGCCTTGCAAGGCAGAAGTGGAAACATCGTAAGAGCTATGCCTAGACTCCTTAAAGGGGGCTAAGAAGGGGATTATATAGTGGACTACTATAGGGTATATAAAGTGGCACACTAGGAGTTTAGACTATGGCTCATAAGTTCTTTTTGGGGTGCTGTGTTGGGCTATGCAGGGACTTTTCTGAGAGGGGTTGTGTTGCAATATTGCATCTCAGTAAGGATCATACTATGATTGTTCTGGAACAGGTTTCTCGAAGTAAAGAACGGGATTCAATTAGCTGAAGGTCAGATCAACACCCTTACTTCTGAAATCAAACATATGTGACATTTCTCTCTAATCGAGAACCGGTACTATACAAAGGCCTGACCATGAAGTCCCAAGTGCTAACAATTCTTGCCTCTCCCCATACATGAAGAACACCCTCCATGATTGGGAAGCACCCCTTCCATGATCATTTAATTACATCCCCCAATAACAAAACCCCACACCTCCGCACAATTACAGTTCCACGACTGTCCGAGCATAGAACCATGATATGTGTACATGCGCATGCAGTGAGAACCTTTTACCAGGTTGTAAGGAGGTTGAGCCAAACATCCACATCCATAGATCCGTGGCTGTCAGACCTCGAGGGCAGGTGTCAAACTTACAGGCCCATACATCACTCCCGAGAGGAAGCTAGCTCTCTACAACACGCCCAAGCCTCCTTCGTGGCGGACGGCTCCAGAGCCTTTGAAAGACAATGCACAAGCTAGGGACTTCCATGCTGTTTCCTGTAGGCAACTTGAGCTTAACCACGTGGGCCGTGGGCTTTGTGGCGTCTTGCCCATTCTAGGAAAGAAAATGGCGTCTTATGTACATGACGCGAGGACTTGTGATGGTATTCATGAAGGTCTTGCTCTGCTCCCTGCCAGAACCGCCACCGCAACCCTCATCGCAGTGCTGGACTTTGCCCGAGGACTTGTGCTCATGCTCTCCACTCTTCTTCTACCACCACCAACGCCACCGCCCATGACGAGGACGACTTCTACTGCTACAACCGAAAGTGACTATCACTACCACAAACATGGCTCCTACTCGTGATCTTCATCATCCCTTGGTGACGCTTACATAACCGTGGAGTTATATAGGGTTATATCGGGATAATTTAACACCAATAATGGAGAATCAAATGGATAAGAACATGCAAAAACAGATGGACACTGGGGGTATACAGGAAATATATATATATATATATGTTGCCTCAATAATGGAGAATGCAATGGAAAAGAAAAATGGCAAATGACATGCAAACCGGGAAGATATGGAGACTTAGAGGTGTATGGGATACCCTAAACTGTCAACCCCTCATTCTGAAAATCGTCACCTTGTGATAGGCTCCGGCCCGCGCGGCTCCGGTGAGCGCCGTCGGGGTGGCGGGGGATCATCGTCCAGATACCTTTGAATATTATTAGGAGAATGACATGAACAAGAAAATTATGGTTATTTTTTAGGCGCCAGTGTGAATACGTCGCTAGTATCTAGGGTACCGCTAAGAAAGCATAATTTTAAGCATAATTTTGACAGCTTGCCATATGAAGCAGTAAGGGCCGGAGACATTTGCGGTGTCATAGACTATATTCGCGAGGTTGCTGGAGTTAGAGTTTTTTTGTTCTGATAGCTGGGACTTCTACAATACACCTGAGGGATGACAAGCAGCATTCTACGGATAGACCGAAGAAATCTTCGGGTGTGCATGCTGGGAAGGTTATACAGAATACTAAACGAGAGGGCCTACTTTAGGGACTGCTGGGACTACAGCAGGATTCTGGCAAGTAGTGTGCGGACTACAATAAGGTTCCCCGCTTCTCTTCCCACTCATGATGTGCAGCCTTCCTCGTCAAATTAAGCCCGGCCCATGGTGGGGTGAAAAGCATCGGGAGTTTCCGCAACCTGAGTTTCGACCTTGCAAGTGCCATTCTGTTTTACAAGGATGCAAACATGGTCCCACATTGACATTCTCCCCGACAAGCCGCATGAGCAATTATGAGACCCAAGAGAAGGTGAAAGTGTTGATGCAGCACACTTTGGCAGTTTTCGACGCGACTTTTGTGTGTGATCTTTTCCTGCATATAGACCCTGATTCTATACATCCTCAAATAACACAATCCTTATTCTAGGGAATCCCAATGGAGAGACATGTAAGTGTGAGAAGTCCAACCCACGTTCCCGAGTACTAACTATCCCCCTTCATACCCTGATAACCCCTATTTGCGTTATGCCTAGAGGGGCATCGCCATGCTGAAAGCTCCGCACATCCGGGTTTACGAAAATTCGGGTTTGTCTGTTAGGGGCTTATAGAAGTACAGGGGTATGAAACGGGGAGCCCTGCTTTTCAAAATACCTTGAATCTCAATCCCTAAATCCTCAACCCGAACCTTCCACCCTTAGGCCAAGAAACCTGGCGCCCTTTAGCTTGGCCAGAAGAGCTGCGCCGGTGCCACTTACCGTGGGGGCCTGCAGGTTCTTCACTCTGGGATTTGGGGTTTGGGGTTCAGGGGTGTCCAAAATTAGTGGGGCCATGCTTCCTTTGAAGGGGTTGGGGCTTCCTGGTTATGGAAACCCGCATATTTGGGTTGTAGGGGATCTGGTCTTAGGGGTGGGTTTTCCGGTGCAAGGAGTAGGGATGAATACGGTTTAATCTCTCGGATCTGGGGATGAGATATTTGGGTTCACTAGATCGTCCCGAAGCCCCTTAATTCTTGTCATGTGGCGACAGGGGTTTGCTACTGGCAACAACCGTTCCTGAAGGCGCTACAGGGAGCATTCTCATGATGCACAGCTCGAATCATCACGCATAGAACAAGTACCGAGGGGGGAATATATCCTGAGATAGTCCCTATCTAACCTCATATCCCTAAATAGTCCCTGTATAAGCCATAGTCTAAACCCCTAGTATCCCCCTGCATGACGCCTATAATGCTCCCCTAAATAACCCCCTATATAACCCTTCTTTAAGGAGTTCAGAGCATGGCTCATATATATAACCCCTATTATATCCCTATATAACCCATTATACTAGCTTCAATTTTCTTTTTCGTTATCCCTACTAGAATCCCCCTCATGTTTGAAGCATATAACCTTTTAACTACCCTACAATCCCAACTTCCATTTCATTTTCCATTTTTTCCATTTGATTCTCAATTATTGGGGGTAATATCCCTATATATCCCTATATACCCCTTTAAATGAACCTAGGGTTTCCATTTCATTTTCCATTTTCTTTTCCATTTGATTCTCCATTCTTGGAGGGTAATAACCCTAAACCCTAAACCCTAAACCTTACCCCTATATAACCCCAATATACTATAGTAGTTTCCATTTTATTTCCATTATCCCTGTAGTGGGTTCCAGGTCCTGGCTCGGCTGCCTACAAGGCCTCACCCTTGCAGGTGCTGTGCACAGCCCCTTAAAGGGGGTTATGTAGGGGATTATATAAGGGACTACTATAGGGCTTATTAAGGGGGATACTAGGAGTATAGATCATAGCTCATATCGGCCTCCAGCTTACGCTGCGGCGTTCCCGGCGCTGACATTGGCCTCTTCCTCCTGCAAGCTAAGGAGGGCGCAGGTCAAGAATTGCATGTTTACTACAGAACAGTGCCGCAGAGATGTCAGCCCAAACAGGTGCGGGACCTCGGTGTGTCATTACCCGAGCTGAGGGAGTCGCGACACGTGGCTGCCTGGCACAGCATGGACTTCGGCAGGACTTGAAATCCTGAAGCTGCCTTTGCACGGACATGCTAGGTCTACCATCGACCTCAACCAATCTGCTGCAGACATGCCTTGCGCCTGAATGCTTTCTCCATGGTCTTGCACCTCGAATTGAATTCGGCGTTGCTCCAGCAGCTCCGCATCCCGTTGCCGCAGCCAGGCGATCTGGGTGCTTTGAATCGCTTTTCTGGCATTTCAGAGGTCGGCCGGGTCTTTCTCCTTTTCTGCCACTAGGCACGAAACACAGAAGGGGTTGACGTCTACCGCGATTGAACCACGGAAGTATTCGTCCAACATGCACGAAAGGACCTATCTATCTGTCTTCCTCCGTTAGTAACAATGAAGAAGTTGGATCCATTCAGAAAACAAAAGCCAGTGAACCCCTCTGCCTGGCGGTCGTAGACAGTCCTCGGAAGCACACCGCCAACCTGGTGGCGGGTTTGGAAAAGTCACCCTCAACTGCATTTGGGGGCTTCGAAAAGGTATCAGCCCCTTGTTCCGTGCTCACAAGATCCCAGTAGATTACGTTTTGTTCATTATGTTCTGTATTAGCCCCGCCCATTTGTCGAAACTGCGATTTCAAGAAAGAAGCACTTCTCGCACTTTTTTTTGGCACACGGTGTATGCAAGATTCTGCCCAACAGCAGAGTCTTTCACATAGCCAGGCCTAGCTCCTCACCCCTTGGTATAGAAGCTGAAGCCGAAGCATGCGTTCGGCTGCTTTCCCTCAGGGAAGCGGCCATAATTGAAGCCCTGTTCGCCGAAGTGAAGGATCTCCTCACGTTGCCAGCCTGCCTCTGTCAGGATTGCATGCGCTCCGTCGGAGCTGGCGGCTGGGCTTCCGTTCATGAAGTTCAAGATGAGATAGGAACCGCTTGGGCTCAAATCAGAGATTTCTTGGAACAACTTGTCATTCTCTTCCTTCTTAAGGTACATAATGAGGCCTTCCAGAAGCCAGCAGGTCACGGTCTCGCCTCCCAGAAAGCTTACACCGTGACTTGGCAAGTCCTTCACAGTCTCCTTGGAAAAATCCATAGAAACCACCTCAGACTGTTGCAAAGAATCCTTAGCCCTGCATTCCTAAAAGTGTCGTCGCGCATTTCCAAGCTCAACATGCTAATCCTTACTCCCTTGACGATTCCTACAGTACACGGGTGTTTGGTTCCTGCATATACGCCTAAAAATGGCTAGCCCGACCACCTGGCGAGGACATACAGTCGATAGGGCGGCATCTTTCTGCGCCTCGACCTTCTTGAGGATTTGTGCCTTCCGGTTGCAGGAGACGCTGTTCAGGGCTTCAGGTGTAACTGACATGTTTGGGCTCTTGGCTCAAAGATGTGGACGAGGGTTTTCCGTTTTCAGACACAGGATCTCCACCTCATTTGTCATGGGAATTTGGGTCCGATCCGTAAGATGGACCCCAACTCTCTCCTCGAAATCCCCCCATTTTCCGCACAACCCTAAACCTTAAATCCTTGAGGGCAGCTAATGTCGAGAAACCACAGTCTTACGTCTGGTTAGCAAGGAAGGAGGGAAGGGATCCTATGGCAACCCCAATATAATCTCCAACTACGCCACTTTCCTTTCCATTCCTTCTGATTCCCTACTAACCAGTGGGAAGTAATACCAAATATCTGACTAGCAGCTTCCATTTCATTTTCCATCTTCTTGTCCGTATACATATATATATATGATTCTCCATTTTCCGATAAATCCTATATCAACCCTAAACCCTAATTTGGAGCCTTCCAATCGCAGATTGGCTTGGTGTCAACCTGTCATGGAGCGTCGCCGCCATGATTTCCGTTGACGTGGGAACTGGGACTGTATGATTTTTATGGTTTTAGGATTTAGGGCGTGAACGATGAGAATAATGGAGAATCAAATGGCAAAGAACATGGAACACAAATGGAAACTGAGCTTATGTTGGGCTAGGTGCGGGCACTGTATATCGGGCCTAAATGATTCCAATGGTGTCGGTTTGGGGTCTGCTAGTTACATACGGGTTATAGGGGGATGATTTCCTTATATGGACACAACAATTTGGCTCCGGATCCCAACATATCCTCCAACACAAATCAATTTCTCAAAGTTGAAGGGCTCCCTTTTTAAGATTCTTACCATGCAAGCCCTACAACTTGGATGCGCGCAGGACTTTAATTAGCCAGCCTCAATAAAAAGGTCCAGGCTAGCCAGGCTGTCCAGCCAAAATGCGCGAGTGTCCAGGCCAGCGCCCAGATTCAAGACCTATTCCCAAAATTAGGGGTACCTTTGAAGGGAATATATAGGGGTTATGTAAAGGTTCTACAGGGTTTAGGGTTTTAGAGTTTTGGGCTGGGGGTTTCCCAAAATTAGAGGTACCTTTGCAGGGAATAGATAGGGGTTATGTAGGGTTTAGGGTTTCCCAAAATAGGGTGTACCATTTTGGGGATCCCTATAATAAGGCTTAGAGTATTTTGGGGTCTATATTGGGGTCCAAACCCAAATCAACCTATGGGTGCTCAAGGGGGAGTGAATGTAGGTACCTTTAAAGGGGTATACATGGGGATTATACAGGGATTATTTTACGGACCCCCACTCTCCCTTAAGCACCAGTAAGTCAAGTAAACACAATTCGAATTAAGTTGCCATAGCCCAATTAAGTTACCATAGTATGGATATGTAAAATATCATGAGGCTTCCTATTCCTGGTAACTTCACTTCCTCAATACCAACACGGCCTGTTTCTTGAGCTTGGCATCTTGATGCTTGAAAAGCCACTTCGAAATGTGATCATTGATCAGGCAAGTGCGGGCAGCTGTGTACCTTACATACGCGCTTGACTTGACTGTTGGGTTTCTCATCTTACTGGGGCTTACTAGGGAACGAGGGAACGTACTATATATGAGGATTCTATTCCCTTACTCCCTACTAAGGACACATAAGTTATGCTTACCTGGCGGGTTTTTCGTAAGGGGTACAGTACCCCCCAAAAACGAAGGACCGCTCAAATGGAGGTTTCTGAAAACAGGGGTACTTCCAAGGGATCTAAGGATTTGTACAGGTCATAAGAGATTCTGGGGTTCTACGGGATTATAGTTCCCCTTAAGTAGATAGAAAATGAGATATATGGGCATCTTATTATGTAGGTCAATTCCATGTTCTTTCTACTTTAGGGGGACTATAGCTATGGAGAAGGTCCTAGCTGCTGAATGTGGCCTTCGAAGCCAAATCCGATATCCTGGGTTGCTGTTAAGGAACTCAAGTTAAATCAACACATTGTGGGTATACAGTAAATAAGAGGGTTTCCTCAGTATAGTAACCCTAAACCCTAAATAGTAGCTTCCATTTTCTTTTCCATTATCCCTATATACACCCCATATCATCCCTATATAACCCTCTTCAGGAAGTATATCCCTAAACCCACCCTTTAAAGCAAGTTCCTTAACAGCAGCCCAGTCTCGCCTGCAGGGTCGAAAATGGTCTTCATGCCAGAGGCCATGCAGTCGCTGACTCGCTTGCCCACATTTCCATTCCTGGGCTGCGCAGTAATAATGAAACATTTTTAGTAGTAAGAATACAAGTAGTAATAAGAATGAAAAGAGCATTAAAAATGTAATAATTAAGATATAATACTGGTAATGATAGTAACAATAGGACTTAAGGTCTGAAGGATCCGGGATTAAGGGATTAGATAGAGCCTTTGGAATCTTGGGGAAATGCAGGCCAGCATTGAGAAAGATGCAAGTTCCCACAACTTACATACTCCTGCTTTAACAGCAGCTCAGATTCTGTGGGCCCTTAGACCCATAATCCAAAACAGTGAATACGCTGTCTTTAACTATTCCTTGGGCTCTGCAGGACCGAAAATCCAAAAATGCTGTCAAGTACACCCTTTATGGGGGTTACGTAGGGCTTATTTCGGGGTTCTATACCAAACCTCGAAATAATTCAAATATATTTTCTCCCCAAGATTCTCATCTTCATTGCACATGTCCCTGGCCAACCAGTCATCAAAGAGCCGCTCTGGAGCTGGGCGCTCAGACTCAAGTTGCCGCTCATAGGCTATCCTTACTTCTCCAGGTTCATGTGTTAATTTCCTTGTATAGGGGGACCGCACTATAGACTCCCAAATACTATAATCCTTATTATGAGGACCCCCAAAAAGGTACCCCCTGCCGAGAACCTGAAGATTTTGGTTTGGTTGGGGTTGCATAAGTCCGAAAAAAGGAAAACCTAGCCTACTTAGCCTTGCCAAGTATCATTAGGGCTGTTTTCTCAGCAAAGCCAAGCCCAGTTCTCTCATCGGGTTTCATCAGCAGCTGATATTCTTCCATTCCCCACTTTTGCCTTGCAGCCTCATCGTCTCCAAACTCGTCGAAAGCGCGTGGGCGAGTAATGACGCTACCGGAAGACGTCATGCTGTCCAAGTGCAGGCAAGCGTAAGTCTAGCCCCTTACTTGGCACCATATGTATGACACTCTACAACCTTTTTTTGCGGTTCAAACTTCTGCTGGCTCAGGTTCTCAGCAAAGCAAACCATTCCTATTAATGGACAACTAAAATGGAAACTGCTATAGTATATCGGAATCATATAGAGACTATATAGAGATAATGGAAAAGAAAATGGAAACTACTATAGTATTAAGCTAAGTGGACTCAAGGCTGTCAGCTACCTTGAGCCCGGCAACAACCCATCCTCGAGATTTCCAAGCAAATCGGAGCGTCTTCAAAACTTGTACGTCGCTGCGCGAGTTCTCATAAGACGGACCCCTTCATCTTTGGGCATGTGAGTGGAGTCCAATGCTGGTCACTACCCCAGGTAGCTTCTGTTATACTTGACTAGAAGTTGGGTACTGCCCCCCCCCCNNATGTTAGGGGTCCTATTAAGGGCTTTATATAACCATATTATAATTATTATCCAACTCTTACTGAGGGGGGGCAATACCCAAACTAGAAGAAACTTGTGGGTGGGTAGTTTACAGGAGAGGCCTAGGTCTGCTATCCCAGCCCCAAGTCATTCCTAAACCCCCAAATAATAGATTCCATTTTGTTTTCCATTATCCCTATAAAACCCAAAATATAATAGCAGATTCCATTTTATTTTCCATTATCCCAATATAACCCCTACATAGTCCCTATAATCCCTATAAAACCGCCATTTTACCACTGTAATCCCTGTAGTTTCCATTGTATTTTCCATTCTCCCTATATAACCCCCAAAGACATCCGAAGGCCTTGTTTGGACTTGGGGGCTTCTCAAAACTGGGGTTTAGGGGTTTAGGGGTTTGGGGGTTTGGGGATTTGGGGGTTTAGGGGTTCGGGGGTTTAGGGGTTTAGGGGGCTTCAAGGATATTTTTGGGGTCTCTATCAGGGATTGCATAAGGCTTCTTTGGAGCAACTCCCACCTGTAGATAACCACCCTAAAAACCCCGCATTCCCTAAATAGCCCTCTTTCTAACCCCCTGTATGAGCCCCTGAATGAAAGAACATTGGAGAGTTCGCACCCTGGAACTTATCCTTGGCACGCCTAAACCTCCAATACCCCGGGCAATCTCGGTGTCAAACCCTAATAGAAAAACCTGTCAAAGCTCTAGAAAAGCCCATTTGAGACCCGCAAACACCTACAAAACTACACTGTAAACGCTGAATGAGAATCCCCAAAATACTACTGTACTAGAATGTGCTATAATTTACTACAATACACTTTTTCTACTACCATATACTATAATACACTAATGTCCTATAACGTACTTTAATGTATTTTAATATATAATATGATGCATTCTAATATTCTAAAATGGATTATAACATACTATAATGTACTAAAATATCCGATCATGTACGAAAATATAATATATTATACCATAATAGACCATAATGTACTATGACATAGGAAAATTTACTAAAAAAACGCTAATATACACTAAAATACACTCATATCTACTATAATGTACTATAAAATACTATAGTATACAAAAACTGTGAATAGGAGCACGGCCTTTGCGCCGTTCTCTCGCGGCGAGGGCTCGCGCTTCCGGGCCTCTCATGTTTTTGAGCACGCGGAAGAAAACTGTATTTGGGTTCAGGGTTTAGGGTTGGCTTGGGGTGCCTTGCGAAGTTATTGTAGCAGGATTTCGTGTATATGATAGTTACCCTAAATAGGGGAACCCCAATATAGACCCCCACATTCTGTAATCCTTATGGGAACCCCCAGAATGGTACCCATCATTTGGGCAAACCCTCATGTGATACTACAACTACATTTTGAGGACTGGTCCTTGTGAGCAAAGCTGAAATCGCCAGTACTCTCATAACCCTAAACCCCAAGCCCTCAAACACCCTAAACAGTAAAACCATAAATCTTAAACCCTAAAACCCCAAATCTTAGATCCTAAAACCCTAAATCTTAAACCCTGAAACCCTAAATCTTAAACCTCTGAAACCAGCAGTGGCTTCGGATGAGAAGTCTCAAGCACTGCTGCAGAAAACCCGGCGTGTCAATGTTTAGTGACTTCTTCGAGCACATCAAGGAACAGTGAATATGGTAGTTCCCCTCATTTTGGGAAACTCTTAACCCTAAACCCTAGATAACCTCTACACTCCCCCAAACTAACATGGAAACCCACATAGCCCCCTTTTAGAGGGACTGTAGTCTTCACCCTTTTCGGGTTTCCATGTTAGTTTCTGGGAGTGTAAGTGGGATGAAACATGCCGGCTTGGCTTCTGCCTCCTCCTGCAAGGTACGGAAAATGTGCTCCTGCACAGTTGAGTAGCGTTTTTTTTGGTGGTTAAACCTAGTAAGATGATATTCCTTATATAAAAGACTATACCCCAAAAGGAGGATATAATCCTATT